AGAAGGCGTGAGAATAGTCACGTGATCTCGCTGACGCAACAGTATATATATATATTTAATCAAGTATCAAAAATAAATTATTGCTTTCCTAGGTGGTAGAGGGGGTATATTACATAAAAACACATATTCATCACAACCTTTGATCATAACATCAGCGACCGAATGTGTTACGTGTTGGATATATATGCTGTTAAGATTAATTAGTAAAGACAGAAGTAGAGGATATTTTATTGTTTTCATACAACAGCTTTAACTTCAGTTGTAAAGTTTCTGTTTGTTTTCCTGCTAAGATAATGGGTGTAGACTATGTATCACTTGGTTATGCTGCCGCTGTTGCAGTGGGTGGAATAATTGGTTACGTCAAAGCAGGTGGGAGCTAAAGTAATCATAAGACTATCTTAATATCTAAAATAAGCTTAAGGGACACTGTTGTTGGTGTTTGGTAATTTCAAGCATTTTTCGCCAACTAAGGTGTACAAAAACAATGATGAACTATTATGGGATACACAAGCTTTGTTTTATTTTTAAACGTAAATTGATATTAAGTACATTCAGGTTTTGGATTTAAAAAAATTAATACCAACGTTAAGTTGAAAGACATTTCCCAGAATTGATTGTTACATGTTCAATAATTAATCACCAGAGTTTGGGATAAAATTGACACTTTAAAGCTAAGATTATTAGTTTTTCCCCAATAGACTCTAGAGCACACATAACCTTTAAAGAGTGTGATATTAAATACATATGAATTTGGAATCTTGTACAAGCACAAAGTTTAACAGTTTCAAGTTTCAGATAAGTTATAAAACATTATAATGTGCCTTTTTTTGTGTATCTAGAAATAAACATGACAATGTGAGAGTTGTTTATGTATAAATGTAAGACAGAAAGTTATCTGGTCAGGTTTTTTGAGGATTTATTTAGAAAGCCTAGAAATATTTCTAGCCACTTTGTGCATAGTGTATTTGCCTGATAGACACTGTTGCTTTAGTTTAGAACTTGAGTATATTTTCCACCAGGTTTTTTCCTTCTTTGCTTTTATAACTGTGTGGACCTTGTTATATTTGATTAATTTACTGCAGTTGTTTTTATCTTTTTATAATTATATATATATTAAATGTTTTTTTTACAGGAAGTGTCCCTTCTTTAGCTGCAGGCTTAGCTTTTGGTGGATTGATGGGATATGGAGCTTATCAAACCTCGCAAGACCCCAATAATTATCTTCTTTCTGTTGGTAAGCTAATGATTTCAAATTCTAATATGGAGATGTTTCTTTATTCATCATGCACGACAGATATGTGGTGTATTAGAGATTTAGCTGTATATACAACTACATTGCATAAAATTACCCTTACTTATATGTACCCCAAGTTTATATTAAAAATAAGGTCATATTTTATGATAAAAGCACAATCACAAAATAAATAAATACATGCTACATAATGTTTAATTTTTTATTACAAGTTTGAAATAAACCTAAATTATTTTAGTTATTTGAAAAAGAAAGGTCTTTAAAAAAAGGCTGTCTTTTACATTGCAATTAGAAAGTGAGAATTATGTTTTAATAATGATGAAAAATTGAAATGTTTCCTTAGATGTTGATACATTTTTTCTCTTACCGTCCTTTAGTGTTGCTTACATACTAGTTAATTTTCTCTTTTTAGTAACATCAGGTGTATTGGGAGGTGTGATGGGTGCTAGATATTATAGATCTGGAAAGTTCATGCCAGCAGGATTAATTACTCTGCTCAGGTAATTTAAAATTTAATTCTGTGTAATATATTTTTTGTACATTCAAATTACAGGAAAATCAACGGGGAAAATTTCACACATGGAATTGTTCACTTTCATATTACATTTTTTTTCCAATTACTTTTGCAGTGTCTGTAAAATTGATTTTATTAGTGTATTTTGTAACTTTTTCACATTTTTTCTCAAGGATTTTTAAGAGTATAATAATCATTTTATAATTTGTTTTAGTTCTACTGTGATAAAAAGACTTACCTAGGCACCACAAACAATATCTGTTTGTTGGATATAACCTTGGATTTTAGAAACAAATTTGCTTATAGTAATGTTGTATACTATGCTTTTTAAGGGGTTTGCATTATTTTTATTCAGAGAGAGTTTGACATAATGTGCTGTGTGTGGCTTAATGACCACAATTGTTCTTAAAAGTTTAGGAAACTATCTGAGCAGTATAAAACACGAGTTAAGCTAAGTTGATGATGATTAATTATTGACTTAGCTAGTTATTATCTGTTAGCCCAGTTTTGTGAATAATGAGTTTGTTTTCAATAAAGAAAAAGTACTGTATATTCGAGAGAAGGTAGCAGGTGAGTAAAATTGTTGTATCAGCATCTCCTGTAAACTGAGAACTATAAGCAAATATTAGTTAAGCTAACTTGTAGAACTTTTAATAATAATTAAAAAAAGCTTTCATTTTATCATTATGTGAACCTAAACTTTGCATTAATGTTTTTATCTAATAATCCAAAAGAACCTGCCCAACAGTATTTAACTTTAAATACAACCAAGTTATCCAATTTTAATTAAGTTTGTACACTTGTTGAAACATCAATAATATCCTTTTATTTGTATTTGGAAAAAGTTTATTAATTGAGTAATAGGTTTTTGTTATTGTTGTAGTTGACGTTAATCAATTATATTGTTTTTTTATAATCAATTTCTATTAAATATTGATGCCTTGTTTCTTTCAGCTTGGCCATGGTATTACGGTTTACTGCTAGAGCACTAAATAGTGGGTATCGACGGTAGATTAGTTTTGAACTGGTGTCAAGGACGTACCCTTTACTGATTCATGGGGTTATTTTCATTTACCTGTACATTTCTGGTATTTGACAAATATTAAAACAAATTGTTTTATGTGCATATGATCTGTACAAGTTTAGTTCTTTTAAACTAATGATCTTTATTGAACTTTAAAATACTTGCATAGGTCCATTCAAGTACTTTTACTTACATATTTTAGTATATATTCCAAAGATGGGTTATTATAAAGAAAGTTTATTAGAAAAATTAATAATATTAATGGTACATATATATATGTATTTATCATTTTTCTATTTATTTTCTTGAATATTTTTTTAAAGTCTTTATTTTTCATATACATTTAGGGTAGCAAAATGTTTATTTTTATTCAGCCTTCCTTGTAGCATTTCGAAAATATTTGAAGACAATTTTTGGTGTCAAGCCAAATTAAATTGCATAATATTGTAATAATTTCTTGGATCAGGTTAAGTAATAGTAGTTATTAACATTATGTGTTCAGGATACTAAAATGTGAGTAAATGTATACACATTTACACCCAATGACTTAAATTTAGAATTTACAAGAAGAGGGTGCATTCATGGTTGAAAATAAGAGCTCTACTGAAAGTTCATAACTAAACACAGATTAATTACACTTTATAAGAATCATGCTTCATATCCATTGGATTTACTTTGTTCAGCGTGATGGCCACGATTACACACAATTGCCTAACACCACAATTTATAACAAGTTAATCAAAGGATGGCAAAATTATTCTCAAGACTAAATCTTGACATAATTTCCACATTCTTGGAACATTGTGACATGTGGACATTTGTCTTTAAAGAGCACACCAAATGCATAAAAGGCAATTGAAGCTGCATCAGAGAATAGGCAAGCATTTGATTTATTTGTATTGATATGATTCCAGTATTTTTTTCATTTTCCTTCCTCTAAAAAACAGCCACCAATTTCAAGGTGTGACTGGAAGTTTGTGAGCCTTCATTTACTTGAAATTCTTGTTTATTATGATGTTAACAATACCAGATAATATGCCTATTTTCATGACATTGGATGTTTTGGATCTGAGGGTACTCATTTATAAATAGTTTTTTGTTGGGGAAGGAATTGCTCTAAATTGGGTTGGGCTATAGTTTGTAAGTCCATCGCTGTCCTAAATGCTTTGCAGATATTTCTACTTCCACAAAGAACATTGATGGCTTTTTTCTTCAAAATGGTTTGTCCATTTGCTCTACATCATTTAACAATCTCACTGTATGAATACTTCTCTTAAAGCCTTTTTATGCTCCTCCAATTATAAGCCTATCCTTGATGGCAATGCATATTGAATTATCAAGAATCTTCTAAGAACCAAAAGATGTTGCCTGTAGTGACACAGCTCACATCTGCAGCAACATTCCATTGTATTAGCATACACAAATTGTTCAAATGAAATTTGATTAACTCCCTGTAAGATTGACTAAGTAATCAAAAGATGTTAATAAACTGAAATAAGTTTCATCCTTTGCATGTTAGGAGAAATCTATCTTTGTTTACATATTATATCCAAAAACATAAATTATAATTTCTAAAAACTGTTTTTGGAATAAGATTATGATTTCAAAAAAAAAGAAAATGAAAAAAAACGAGTTCTCAAGAATGATTTTTTTAAGGTTTACTTTTTCTTGTCATGGAAAAAAATGGCACATAATGTCAACAAGTTGGTGGCTGTACAATACAAGAATGTGAATCAACTAGCCTGAGAAGTGAATTACATCACAATTTACCACTTAATGTTATAAATTCATGAGGTTATTCTACTATAAAGACTTGCTATGACTAATCTACATGATGGAACCACCAAAACTTTTGATCATAATCACACAATGGTCATGTGATTTAAGTACCATGGAAAATGTGTTGTAATAATTTTGGAAAGAATACATTTATATTATGTAGAGATTTACTTTCCCTACATATATAATACAAACATCAGACATACATATCTATAGGGCTTTTTGAATTAATGAGAAAATATAGCAGAAAAAAGGGTAAATGGGAAAAAAATTTTCCCTATAAATATTATTTAAGATTCAGAATTTTTGAACTGATTAGTATTATCTACTTACTGCAAAGTACAGCATAAAGAAACAAACCCATAATTTAAAAATGGAGATTCACTTAATTCTGAAGAAACAAGAGAACAAGCATGTTTATCAAACATATTTTCTTTAAAATGGTTTAGTTTCTTACTTTTCAGGATTTAATTTTTTTACAATATTTTATACACTTGATTTACTTGTCTTGTAAAACAATTTAAGATTTTAACTGATATTTTGTTAAAGTGAATATGACACATAAAAGACCATACTTACAGAAATCAAGATTACTAAAAATTACCAACATATTTATTAACAACTGATTAGCTAGAAAAGTGTATATTATTTTTAAGCAGTGGTCCCACCAGTTTTAAAGTGGCCATAATCCTTTGTCAATGGTATGTGCATGTAAATCTTCTTGAAGATATCCCATTATTAATCCATGCTATTGTCATATCTAAAATGACTGTTATGAGTCATTTTAGAATTTCTTGAACCTCTGCTGAAGACAAATCTGTCGAATATCAATACCACAGTAGGGTAGTCTACAGATGTGTTTCTATAGTATTCTTCACAGGGATCTGTTTTTCAGACTGCATGCCCATTGGTATCATTATATTTTATTAGTTCCTGTAATACTACAAGGATATCATACAAACATGTGTAGAGGTATACAGCTTTAATTCAGTAACATTACATTTTCTCTATAGTACAAAGTTTCTCTATGCACAGTCAGCTACTGATAAAGGTAGACAAAACATACAAAGAGAAAATATAACACTCTGTTTTACCAAAATAAGACTTAGGTTGTGTACAAACTTTCAAAAACGTGCAACATTCAGTATCTTCTTTAATTACGAGCCTCATCCTATATACTAGTATAAAAATGTACATTTATCAGTTTTAGTATGGCAGAATGATTAGCAGCAATGTAATTTCAATAATGAAAATGTTAAGTTGCTTGATGATAACTCGCAAAATGCAATTAAAATATACTTTTCTTATAAAGTTGTGTTTTTGAGACCCTATTGTCATGCTAAGAAAACAGCTTCTAAAAATTATGTATGGTTTACTCACAGTTAATCAGAAGAAAACAAACTTGGTATGTAGCTAAAGCTGACTACCTGGCTTATCATTTATATACTAATGTGCAATTTGTGGACATTACATTTTAATTACCGTTTATTTTCATTCTGATAAGTTAAAGCATTAAGATTATGCAAAATACAATTTAATAAATATTTTACGGGAGCAGTACTTTCATATCTGCATAGAGTGGCAACACAAGCAGCTTTAAGACACAGAGCTCAAAAGGCAAATCTTAGTCCCACTTCTAGTAAAGCTTTTCACAACATCAGTGATAGATTTACTCAAAGATCACATGGTTTGTTTTTAGTTAATTCAACAGCAAATATGAATTACTGTACTACCTTTATCTACTACTTCATTAGGTGGGTAGTTCACATTAGAGGAGTAGTATTTAATATAGTACTCATGTGCTTTGTTTTCAGAGACAAACACAAATGGCTATTAAGTAGTATTTATAGTTTCTATCTCACAACCACTATTCTTACCCTTGCATATAATTCTGGGTGATAAGAAGACTTCAGGTTACAGAAAGAATGCAAACTGTTTTCTTAGCCTTACAGAAACAATTTTTGGAGGCGTATAAACTACCCATAAAATGTAACATTACAAGCAATAGGATTGTTAAATTCTAAATGTTTGGTCCACACATTTATTGGATGTGAAAATAGGTATGGGTATTTTGTTAACCCCCCAAGTTACAGCCAGATACCTTCTATTGATCTTTAAATGTTGAAATTTTTGCTTGTATTACAAGTTGGTAATGGGGAGGTATACTGTTTAATGTTATATAAATATGACAACAAGTACACCTTCAAAATAAATTTCAAGAAGAAATTTGTATATGTAACCAAATTATTTTTTCTCTCTAAATAATTAGCAGTTTTCACACTTTTTTACTCTTACATTATAGCTGTTAAAAAGCTTTAAAGCAAACATAAGTTTTCCCCTTAAGCATTAATACAGGAGAATATGTTGTTTCATTATCCAACTGTATTTCTTGGCTCAAAAGACTTTCCTCTTTGATTTTATTCTGCCTGCAATGGAAATTTCAAATGTACTGGTCTTTCTAAATTTTTTGTTTCAATTGTAATAAGAAATAATTTCCACTTAGATGTAGACCTCAATCTCTTAAAGATTTCAAAAATAAAACCATGAGGTGAATCCAGAAACCATGCTTTAACAATTCAAAGATATTAATGGTGTTAATGTTTTTTACCCATGCGATTCAAGTAAAAAAAGAATAAACTTCACATCTGATGATAGTACACAATTTTATAATAAACTACTTGCATCCCAATATTTCAGATCTTTAATATTACATAAGACAAACAAAATATATTATTTTTATATTTTATTATTTCATTTAAGAGCAGAAACTTAACAGTTTACTGTTTAACCTTTACGGAAATAACGTATTAATTATCGTTCACCAACACATCCCAAAGAACTAACAACTTACTTTCAACTGTGAATATGTATTAAGGTATAAGTTAAAATACTTTTTAATTAATAGTGTAAGCCATTTAAAAGTTAGTGACCATTTAATTAATCAACTAAAGAATAATTTCTTTTATTATAATACTCAAAATGTGATTTATTCTGTTATATACAACTGTTTTTAAATTAAACACTGACAGAGCAATTACGAACAAGTTGTAATATTGTGTTCTTCAACCATCATATACACCAAATATCCCTTTTCTATAAGAAATGAAACAAACAAGGTTTCTTACACATTTTAAACAGAAGGTATTTAACTCCACCTCATAAACCACATTATCTATTTTCTTATCAAAAACTTTCATGCAAAGAAATGACTGAAGAGGCTAAAACTACCAACACCAGCATCTCTATGGAATATATGGATGCAATTTATCAGCAATCTTTGGGCAGATCAGGAATTTCTGTTAAAAACACAGTACACATTAAATCCTAACAAAATATTTCTAAATTTCAAAGACAACAGTTTTGGTAGTTAATAATCATCTTCACATAAGTATTGAACTTATGAGAAGAAGAAAAAAATGGGATCACTTTATTAACTGTAGAAGTCACCAATGTCCACTTGCTGACCACACACCTTCAGCCCAGTAGCGACTACAAGTGAGGTTCTAGAGGTCGTCAGTCTTTCCAGCTCTACTTTATTCTTTTCCATAGTTGGTTATGGTACAGGTGGGAAATTCCAAGACCTGGAAAACCAGGTTGGCAAAGCTTGGTAACAGACAACAAAAACCAGTACTTATAGAAAAATTATAACTTTGCAGCCACAACTAGGTCTCATCCAGGTCTTAATTTTTTTTTTATTTAGTCTTTATAAAGTATTTAGATAATTGAAGCCACACAGTTTTAACAGAAAATGCACATTATTCCAGTTCACTTTGTGAAAGTATAATTCAGAGAAACATTCCAAGGGTAGAGTTTTGATTATATGTTCATATTATTTTTAACAATAAAGCCTTGTTGACACAAAAAAAACAACAGAAAATCTTAATTTAAAAAAATGTTGGAAGTTACCCATTCAATATTTCAGTGACTATTTGTGTCTGCAGGATTTGCTACCGAGCATTAAGAAAAGTTCCACTTTATCACAAGTACCTGGTTTAAGTTATCTGCAAAATATTTAAGTTAAATATATCTTACCTATTTAGAACATCTTTGTATTGATCAGTTTAAAAAATGATTTAATATACCTTAGCTTATTATAATATCCAAATATTGGGTTAAAAGATAAACATTTCATCACAGTGGCTGTAACATGTATAAAATTACATATCCAAGTAATGATAAAGCTAAAGAATTTACTAATTATAAAAAAATTATGTTTCTTGATTAATAAACCTCGAAATCATTAAAAGCATAGTATCTCATAACCAGTGATATTGTACCCATTTAATGTTTAAGAATTAAGAATGTCCTATAATCAGAAAATGGCTAAAAATTTGTAACTATAATTGAATAAATACTAACCTCCTGCCAGTATGTATGTCGAAAGTTTTCATTGTTTAATTAAAATACCTGGATTTGGGTGGGTCATGACAATTTTTTTTTTACAGAGGTACATTCAAAATTTAATCGAACAATGTTATTATCATTGTATATCAATAAACTTAGCTTCAATAATGCAGCGTATAATTCAAGATTTAATACTGTATATGTTTTAATTCTGTATCATTTAGTATTTCTTTGTTCCAAATTGCAAATTTTAGATTTTATTTCTACAGCTATATGAACTTCAAAGTTTAGCACCAACTACACACTTTTAATACATTCATGATGTTAGAAAAACATGTAGGTTCAAGAAGTCTTGATAGAAATGAATAAAAATGCTATAACCCGAGCACTTTTAAAAGGTGGACCTTTCCTGTTCAGAGGCAAACTTGTAGTACAGGTATTGTTAAACCATAATATAAACTTATAGCTACTGAACTTTTGGCTGTACTGATATATAATCAAAAAAGTCAAACCCACATGTTAAGCTTCTCCTATCTCATCATTTCTTTCAAAAAATTTCAATAATTCTAACATTTGCTATTAGACTATTCATAACTAACTGAAAGAGAAGATTCTACTCTACAAAATTAATTATGAAGCTAGTCTGTTCAAGTGGAAGGCTTGGAAATATTTAGTGTCAGTTTCATTATTTGCCTTTGTGGTGCTTCGTTCAACCAGCTAATATAATTTTTACTACTTGTAGCCTAATTAGAAAGTCAGTAAAATTATAATAGTCTTAGGACATTTTATTCTTTGTGCATGATAAGATATTGTGTTCCAACTCGCATATTAAAAAAAAATTTTTTTATCAACAATATCATTACAAAAACATATGCCTAAGAGAAAGGACATGAAACCAGATACAAGTAACTAAAATGTAAAAATTACAAAATTATTAGGTTAGATATGGAAACATTAAATAAAAAAAATTCTCACAATACTCTACAATAATGTGCACATTACGATCATGCACATAATGTGCACATTATGTGCGTGATCGTAAGACAATCGTGGTGTGCTTGTAATTTTATTGTTTGTTCACATAAAGTTGTCCAATTGTGATAAACTGCTTTCTGCATAAGCTGAGTATGTCCAAGTTTATCTTTAAAGAAATAAAACTAAATGAGCCCAGATCTGAAAATCTACTAATTTTACTGTAAGAATAAATAATGTAATTGTCTGTTACAATATGCAGTCACTCAAGAAAGAAAAAAAAGGGTAATTTAGATTCAGAAAGCTCTACTGGTTATATAAATAAAATATGAAAACTGCAAGATGAAAAAAACGTATTTTTATTCATAGCATGAAAATCACCTTGCACTCGGACTACTTACTCAGAGTACAAGTCAGAAAGACTGTAAATTCTCAGACAAATCTTTAGAAAAAAATAATTAATTAAAGACCCTGAACTTTTATGTACTGCAGACTTGTAATGTTTACCAAAAGTTTACCAAATTTTGTGAAGATACACTCAGTACCTTCAGTTATAACATGTATAGTTTCAAGGCTACAAGATATATTAAAATGACTGAGCCCACATTCTCTGGTTCTCAAAGGTAACTAACAAGTCCTGAAAAATTATCAAGCTCACTACTGCTAGCATTTTCGAAAATTTTGTGTATGATGTTAATTAGGGCTAACATTCTAATATGTTTTCACTTTCTAGCATTACTTAGATGAATGGTATAATATATTATTTATGTATGCAGCTGGGTTTGATCTTATAACACCAATTAGAAACACACAGACAGATGTATAGGATGTTTTTTTTGTTTTTTTTAATGTAGTTAAGGAATGGTGTTGCAATTTCTAGCTTTATAATAATGGAACAGTGATAAGGCATTTAAGAAACAATTAATTTTGCTGTATAAATTACCATTTGCTATTCCTGCAAATGTCACATATAAAATGAACTAATGAACAAATACAACCATTTTATAATTATTGCAAAGTTTTAGTAGTTATCTGATACACTTTTTCCACCTATAGTTAGCTATACCACCTAATGATTCACTTGTGTGTGTGTGTGTGTGTGTGTGTGTTTATAATAACTTGATAGTTTTCAATGACAAGTTCTTTCAAAAACTATTTATCATATATCAGGTATGCATAATGTTGGACTGGTATGAGTAAATACTAAATATATTTTGGTATGTACAAAAGATAACGTATCTATTTAACACAACGTATGAACTACAAGCTCCTGAATATTTATATAAGTAAATTAATATGTAGAATTATACACAGAATTTCAGTATGTTAAAATACTTTTAATTGTGAGCTTTCAGCCCTCTTACCAGAGCCTTCATTAGGAAACAATGAAGGCTCCAGCAAGAAGACCAAAAGCTCACAAATAAAAGTATTTTAATGTACAGAAAATCTGTGTAAAATTCTACACACAATCATCTATACATTACTTTGATACTGAGATATGTAAAAAACAACAACATATATACGAACTGTTGTCTATGTTAAATACTTTCACTTTAATTGCCAGCTTTCATCCCTTCTACTGGAGCCTTCATCAGGCATTACTTTAAGAAATATTAAGTGAGGTCAACATGCTTTTATACAAAACTGAAGTACATATGACCACAAGCCTGAAAAAGACTATGCTTTGATTTAAGTGAGATTTGCAGATTTTAGCCATGTATATTTGCTTGAGTATTTACTTCTGAACCATAGATTTGATACTTTTTAACTGTCCAACTGGGTTTATAGTTTAAATTTTCCCTTACTCTAAACTTCAAGTCCTTACATGTAAACTGTTACCTAACAACATTTTCCTCCACTTCTGCTATCTGTAGAGGCAATTCGCACTTTATCCGAAACTTCTGTCTGGTCTTTTCCAGCCAGTTGCTGTAAAAGGAAACATAAGTATCACATTCTCCTAGTAAAACTTTAAATGTTATTAGATAAAAAGATGCCTTCAATTTTGTTGTACAAATGCAAGACATTTCCTCTGCTGTACCTCTTCCAATATATTACTCATAAAATAAATAAGTTAAAGTATAAAAACCCTCAATCTAATGCAATGATTATGAAATACATCAATAACTGTGAAATATGACCTACAAGTCAACGATAATTTTTTATAAAAATGCTCTTTAACATAACTGTTGTCATATGACAGCATAGTGACATTACTGTTTAATTCCCTGGTGAAAATAAAGTGCAAGACAAGTCATAAAATGGGTACAAATAAACCAAATATGAAATTTGAACAATTTCATGCAAATAATTGCATTGGTGTGTCAATAAAAAATACATAAGTGAAATAATATTATCTTTAGAGAGTAAGCAACTTTAACCCTCTCGCTACAGGTAGGTCACACTGCACATTATGACCTACCTGTAGCGAAAGTTACATTCAAGATTTAATTAAACTATTTTATTATCAACGTATATGAATAAACTAGGCATTAAATTTAGTTAATAAATCAAATTTTAATATTATATACAATTATATTATATAAAAAATCCTCAATCTCCCCTAGTATGAGAATCATGACATTTGTTCTCTAGGTTTTTCCTCTTCTCTAATGTATTTACCATCCCTTTGTGAAGTATTCAGTTTAATGTAAATTAGTCACTATAATACAGATATCACTAAAGCAAAATCTAATTTTTATATCCTTCAATATTATTCATTTATTTATGGAGCTATAAACTAGAAAATCAGACCCACTTGCCACACCATTTCTTTCACAAATAGCCAATAACTCTCTCTGCCATTTTACATTATATCTTTTATAACCAACAGAAAGGCCAAGTTTTAATCTACTGAATGATGTATAATGTTATGTTGTTTCCAGTATAGAGTATTGTCAATTTCATTTTCAGTTTTTCTCAAGGTGTTCAGATTTAGCAGCAAAAGGAATTAATTTAAGCCCCTACTGTCTTAGTTAGAAATCCAGTTAAATTATAATAGTTATAGGACATTGTTTGCTTTGTGTATGTTTAGTG